TCGTTTCGTTTTTTAGTTGCTCCTGAATGGTTTGTTATCGCTTCGTTATCAAGAAAAATAACGAATTATTAATGAATTACAAAATTAACAAACGAAACCGCCCAGCCCTGCTAACCATTATGTTCTGCTCACACAGCATGACAGACATTCAGACTTTTTTTGCTGAATATGACAAAGTGAACAGCATGTTCACGATACCTTGTTTATGTAATTGTAATGTCTGCTCATTCCTAAGAGCAGTAAAGTTAGAGAAGCATCTGTGTCCCTAGCATTAAGACATTCAAGCCATATTCATTTCATTACTTGTGTGAAAAAGACAATGTAAGTACAGAAGGGTTGATCAGGGCAACTGACCAATAAGGAAATTGTTGTATATCTGTAGGCTGTGGAAATGATTACAGACAACGCCAACTCTTCAGCTTAGAAATTGAGATGAGCACCAACCCTCAGAGTTGGACACGACTGGACTTAATGTCAGGGGAAAACCTTTTATTATGAACCCATTGGGTCTAAATAAGTTTCTCAATCCAACATTTGCCCTGAATATCTTGGAAACCAGAAGATATTGTGCAACCATGAAGACATGGCAAAAGCACAAATTCCCATACTCCTTTTCTACTCATGTTGCCTCTTCAAGTCACGTAATACCTTTAAAGGTCAACGCAAATGGCTCACTAGAGCTCAGACAGGAATAAGACACTTTCTACTGTGAATCAGGGGCCAGAGAAGAAGTTAATTTAGCAATGGCAGTAAATATAACTGTTCTTGTACACCAGCATTTTAAAACAACAATTTGACATACTGGAGAGTGTAATCTGAAGTGGCCACCTATGGCTAGCATAGAATGGAAGCAGAACATTGCCTGTTTAATAGCATACTAGAACAGGGGTATGCAATGTGGAGATTTCCAAATGTTGTTGGACTCCTAGGGCCTTCCAAACAGCCACATCAAGGCAGAAAATTCCACAATATCTGCTTTGAACTGGGATATCTGAGTCCACACTGCCATATATCTCAGTTCAAAGCAGAGAATGTGGTATTTTATTCAGCTGTGTGGAAGGGGCCATAGTCTCAGTAGTCCTAGCCAACAAAGTCAATGGGGTTGAATTCTGGGAAAGAAATCCAACCCTCATTTTCCCCATCCATGCACAAAAGGTTATTTTTCTCTCATCATTTTTGAACTCTATGTCAAAGAACAGAATGCTCTGAGACTTTTCTCTGAGCCAATATGAAGTTATACAACCTACTGTTTTTGGCATGAACACAGAGTGCTAGAAGATGAATAATGTATAATTAGCAAATAAAAATATGGCTAAATCAAACATAGTTTCATTTATTTATATTTCTGCTTATTGAAGAAGTTATTGTCTGTGTTTGAAGACCAACATAACTCATTTTCTGGTTATGTTCTTTGGAAAAGGGACCAGAAGAAAAAATGTACAAACCCTTTGAGACTGCACTTGCTCAGGTGAAATAAAGGTGTGCTCCCTTGTTTCCTAAGATGGCACATTTTCAAACATACAAGTTCAATGACTAGGAATACATCTCCACTGTAGAATGGATGCACTTTGACATCACTTTAACTGCCATGGCCCAATGTTATGGAATCCTGGGATCTATAGTTTGGTGAGGCACCAGCACTCTGGCAGAGAAGGCTAAAGACCTTGTAAAAACTACAACTCCTGTGTTGTCATAACATTGAGCCATGGCAGTAAGAGTGATGTCAAACTGCATTAGTTCTACAGTAGAGATGCACCCTAGGAACACTTCTCATGAGGAATTAATCACAATGGTTTTGCTGTACATGGTATGCAAAAATCAAAGTGCTAAATCTGAATGAAGGAAATGTTTGTGCAAAACTTTCCAATGCTTTTCTTGCACAACAGCTATACTTGGGCTGTGTATTGTTATCTGTTACTATAAGGTTAACATTAAAATGTATTTGCCATCTGCAGACAGGCTGAGAACGAGGATGAAATGAATCCCAGGCTTTTGCCAGTCTAATGATTGAGTAAGAACAGGAATATACAGTTTCAATGACTATCAGCTGAATTTTCATCATGATTAAGATAGGCTGTGTTTGGGAAATGATTTTTTTCTTCCTTTGATTTTCATGGATTGATAAAAAAAAACCCAGCTAACACCCAGTACAGCACAAATGGTTTATTGGAGGGGAAGATTGCTCACAAATGGAGGAATAAGACTTTCATCTTCAGCAGTGTTGATGTGGTGTGGGTAATTGAAATTGAACTGCAGAATGCTGGGGATCACTATAAAAGCTATAGTCCTATTAACTGAACAAAAATACCACTCTAGGCTGGCAAAAACCCTAACCTAATGCAGTTCTAATAACTATGCACTTAATAGGAGTGTTCAATCCTGCTATCCACTTTTCTCAAGAAAGTGCAAGGCCAGGCAGATGCAGAGACATTAGATCTTAGCAGGGATGGGGAGATAAGTGACAGATTGACATCCAGTGACTACTGTTTGCCTCCTCATTTATAGACAAAGTGCACTGTGAATGAAATATTTCATTGACTGGTAGGAGACACTATTATGGTAGAGGGACCATACAACAGTTTAGACAAGGCAAGCGTCCTGTTGATCTGGAAGAAAGCCAGCCTGGAAATGACATTGCAATCCACTTTGGCTGAAGTTGCACTGTCTTTAAAATATGCAGTTCACATTTTGTACCCAGCATTGTTTCCAGAAGGCCAGTACAATAGTTGGATCCCCCGGTGGCGCAGTGGGTTAAACCCCTGTGCCGGCAGGACTGAAGACCGACAGGTCGCAGGTTCAAATCCAGGGAGAGGAGGATGAGCTCCCTCTATCAGTTCCAGCTCCTCATATGGGGACATGAGAAAAGCCTCCCAAAAGGATTATAAAAACATCAAATCAGCCGGGTGTCCCCGGGCAACGTCCTTGCAGATGGCCAATTCTCTCACACCAGAAGTGACTTGCAGTTTCTCAAGTCGCTCCTGACAAGACCAAAAAAAAAAAAGTACAGTAGTCAGGAGTTTTTTATTCAATCCTGAAAAGAAAATGCTGGCTGGGCCCTCCCCAGGAAGATTTGGCCACATCTTAAATACTTTTCATTTTAAATTGCTGAAACACACTCTAACATAGGGCGTTTCTTCACAGACACACATTAGGGGCCAGAACTGGTGTCAAAAATGCCTGTATCATGGCTTGACAGGGGCACCCTGAGTCACCTAGGTGTTGGGAAGGAGTCTCTACTGCCCAGCCATGCTCAAATTGGTTCAGTGCTAATGGCAGGATCCCCTCTGTTCCTGCTCCTAACAACTACAGCAACAACAGGGGAATCTACCTACTCAGTACTCATCCATCTTCCTGGTTCTGTGCCATGTGACTAGTAAAAAAGCTTGGGAGGAGCATGCAGGGGAGCTTTCAGATGTTGGTCTTGCTTTTCAATGCCATAAACAGCTTTGAGCTTGGATATCTGAAAGACCACCTATGCCTATGAGCCTGCCTAAAATTTCACATCCATAAGGAAAGCTTTGTTTCATGTTTCAACACTTCAAGAGGCCAGGTTTGTAGAACTCCCTTCTATGGGAATTTAGATTAGCTCCATCTCTATTTATTTTCTAGCAAGCTGCTAAAGCTACATTTCATTGCACAGCCTTTGATCCTTAATGCCTTTTTAAAAGTTAGATATTGGAATTGTTTTACCTATTTCAATTTTTTAATGTTAGCTTTTCATCTGTTTTAGAATAACGTTCTGTGTTGTGTGTCACATCAGGAGTCTTCACAGATGGAGAGCCAATGGTATAAGAAATAATACAACAAACAAACAAAGAGTTGGAAGGTAGAAGCCATACTGATACCTCTGCACAGGAGGAGTGAAATAAATGCAATGCATGTCATACTCTGTTCCATGAGCAAAATGTATCAGCTGAAGACTCCACTTCTTGGCAGGATTTGATTTATAAAGAGAAGTATAATAACATTCACAAGTACCACTACCCCACCACATTTTAGACCAATCATAGTGATTAAAGACTAGAACATCCAAGTTCTGCCTCCCAGTGAGGCAGAAAACTCACTTGGCAACTTTGGGCCAGTCATTCACTTTCAACCTGATCAACATAATAGGCTTATTAGAAGGTCAGGTTAGAAGGAGAGCCATGCTGGCTGCCTTAAGAGCTTCAGAGGAAAGGTGGTACATAAGGTTTAACTACTAATAGCTAAGTAATAGCAGTTTTATAATTGTCAGCTATGGGACACAAGTGCATGTAAAGGTCACGGCTCTTCCACTGGTGTACTTGTGAGACCAGTGTCTGGCCCCTGGACTTGAAAAAAATATTTCAGAGAAGCTGAATTCCTTGGTTTTATACTGATATCTTAGAAAAGACAAGGTACTCTGCAGCTGACAATTCTTCCCCTACTTTAAAAAAATCAATCCTGGATTGTGATTTGATTTACCAAGCTATTTCTAGTCTTATTTTTGACCTTACTTTAAAAGCAGAGGATGCTGAGTAAACAGTTACCCTATACTATATGCTCTATAGTTCCAGACCTCAGTCAATCAGTTCATGGTCTTGGTATTGAATATGTGACCTTGTCAGTGGCTCTTGTCTATATATTGATAGAGCTGGCATATCTCCTGATCTGATTAGATAATTTATGTTGATCTGCATCTGAAGGGGCTGGTATAGCTATTGAAAAACTAGGGAGGCATTCACAAGAATGCTTTTGAGTTGACCGACTTCTTTGTGGCAAAGAGATAATCATGACTGGGATGATTGTTCAATATTAGGTCTACAGTTTGTTCTTTTTTTCTTTCTCTCAGCAGGTAGCTTGACCCAAGATGTTTTGCTGCTTTAGACAAAAATGGTAAAATGGTGCACACAACCATACATGGACATCATCCTCTACAGGTACTTGAATAGTGTTCTAGGTTAATCTTAGCAGAATGCAGGACAGATCACACAACACAAAGAGTGTGTCCTCGAACAGTCAATCCCATTCTTATTTGTTACCTCAGGTGGTTGATTTGTTCTTCCAAAGAGTAGGTTCAGACCCATTCAGAAGGAAGCAGTGGGTTTCTTCAATGTCAGTATTATTTTCAGTTGTGCTTAGGAGATGTGTGATAGCCTGGATAGCTGGAACAGATGTGAACAGATGACCTTGATTTCGAAAGAAACAAAAGTGGAAACATGTATGCCCATTTAAAAAAAAACCTTAAAAAGAAACATCTGGCAAAGCCTTTCCATTAGAAATTTAAAGCTAAGCCTGGAGCTGAACAGTGGTATGCAAGGGAAAAGGCATGAATTTTTAAAAAGGAAGAAAAAAAGAAATTAGCATGAACATGTGCCATTGGTGCTGACACTGTGCATTAAATGAAGTTCCTAAGCCATATCTCCCTATATTAAACAAATATACTCAAATCCCACTGCCACAATCCTCATTTCTTTGGTTCCAAAATCAAAGGGATTAAAACTTATAATTAAGACACCAGAGGAAGGGATGATCGGTTCTGCTCGTGCAAATTAGTTCAGCCACAGAGAGCTGCCAGGGTTCTGTTTGCCGGTTAGGGAACCCCATTTGGCTTAATCTGATTAGGGAGAGAAATCATTTCCCTGAGACAAAGAATGAATATAGCTGCAGGATAAGTAGGGAAGGGCAGTGGAGGATCGCAGCAAAATGTGATTTAGTTGCATGTATAAAATGTAACAACAACAGCAACAAATAAGAATCAAGTGAGAAGATATACACATCAAGCAAATATAGTAAAAATGCCAGATTTGTTCCAAATAATATGGATTTTATTATCATTTTATGGTAAAGATTCTGCATCTATGCAGAAAACTTCTGGAAATGCAATTTCTTGTCAAAATGACAAACCGAAGCATCCCAGCTCCCCCTTGAGAAATCAAGATGACGACTGTTGATTTTATTTCATTTTATGTTTTGCAGAACTTTTTGCCATTAGGAGGCAAGAAAAAAAAATTGAGCTGACATTTTTCTCTTCTAACAGACTTCATTCTTTCATTCTCCCAACAGGAAAAGAACAGACTAATCTAGCCCTGTAGCAGGGCTCCCTTTACAATCCATCAATAAGTTAGCCAATGTTTTCAACTGCAAATGGTAATTTTAGAACTCAGGTTATGACAATTTGATAGAGACTTATTTTTTGGAAGGTGGACAATCACTGCTTTGGGAACAGAGCCCCTTTATAGAATCTATCACGTAATGGCTTAGCTAAATTTATGTGACCCACTTGCATGTTTAAGTGTCGAAGACAGAATTTTGAGACACTTTTGCTTCAGCGGTGGCAGAATATAAAAATTATATTGTGTCAAAGGTACTTGATGAGATGGAGGTGGGAAGGGGTTCCTCTCCTTTGTATTATTTGCCACCAGTGAAGTTGCAGTAACAGTGTTTGATACCAAAGAAAGTCTTGGGTAGACGTGGAACTACAGCCAGATCTAGAACACAACACCCAGTCATATTTTGTAGCCTAATGTATGGTTGAAAATTGTGCTACTATAAAGCATAGTGTACTGGTTTGAGCATTGGACTACAACTCTGGAGAGTAGCGCTCAGCCTTAGGCAAGTCACATTCTTTCAGCAAAGGAAAACCCACTCTGAACAAATCATGCCAAGAAAGCCTCAGGATAGATTTGCCTTGGAGTTCCCATAAGTTTGAAACAATTCAAAAGCACACAACAACAGCAACAACAGCAACAACAGCAGCAACAACAACAGCAGCAACAACAACAACAACAACAACAACAACAACAACAACAACGTGAGGGCCCAGAGGGGTCTAATTATTTTTCCACCCATGACAGAATATCTTGCAAGACCTTCTCTTCCATTTCATGGGAGTAAAAATACAATACTACTCATATTAAACAACCAACAGCTAAGGCACCAGATCCCATATGATCTTAGAAGCTGAGCAGGGTCATCCCTAGTCTGTACTTAGATCGGAGACTACCATTAGATTGGAGACTGATATAATGGTGGTCTCTTAGCTCTGTCAAATGCCTATTGGTTTTTAATTGGTTTTGCCTCTGGGATGCAATATGATTTTAAACCCAGTACAAATTTTTACACTGTATTTATTTTGGTTATATATTATGCCCTGTCTTTTTGCCTTTGCTTATGTATGTGTTATGATTTAATTTTGTTGTAAGCTGTCCCAAGTCCTTTTAGAGAGGGGTGAAATATAAATAAAGTTTATTATTATTTATTATTCCAATGAATACCAAGTACTGTAGGCTATATTTCAGAGGAAGGAAATGGAAAACCACTGTTGAGCATTCCTTGCTAAGGAAACCCTATAAAATTCAAAAGTTGATAGGCAACCTGATGGCATGCACACACACTAACAATTGGCTGACCATTAATTACACCCCCAAACCTGATGCAGCCACATCACTTTGTTTAGCAATAGATAGGTTTCCTCTTTTTGCTTACAAAACCATGGGCTCTTCGACTAAACTATTATCTCTGCCTCATACCTATCAAGAGATCAACTGCTTAAACAGTCATCCAGTGAGTAGCTCCATGGTTTATTATTATTTACTTATAAGATATTTAGGCTGCCTTTCAGGGAATTCCCATATAGTGATTGTTCACATTTAAAAGTACAGCAAAATCCAAATGTAATCTAATTGTCTACCCCACAATGTCAAAGACATGGCTCTGTTGTGATACCTGAATATGGAATAGTCTCTTCACAGAGGCAGAATTGGTGCCAGAATTGGTGTCATTCTTGTGCCAAGTCAAGGCACAGCTTTGTAGTAAAGCCTTGGTGGGTGGGTCTAATACACTTTATCCAATTTACATATAATTAGGATATTTCAATAAATATGAACAAACAAACTAATAAGTAAGAGTCTTAATTTGAAATGTGAGCAACTTGTCTAAGTGAAGATTCTGGGGATATTCACCGCATATACAAGCTTTAAGTAAACAAACACAATGAGAGGAAATTTCAGAGAAACGTCAGGTCTTCCACTACTCAGAAATAGATTGTTTTTGTAGCTGCGTACTTGCTATTTTGAGTTATTGGCTAACTCTGAGATATCAAAATGAGGATGTCAAGGCTGCAAAACAAAGGATATCTCCTGGCCCTTTTCCATAGCTAGCAAATACAGCAAATGAAATGGGCTTAGGCTGCATTAACAACAGAAAGAACTCTCTTGGGGAAAAGTAGATAGACTGTCAGCCCATTAAAAAACTATATCTGAGACAGATCTAATTGACGGTTGCTTGGGGCTCTTATAACAAACGGAGCTGAGGTCTGTTTGTTGGTAGGTCTCTGCCCATCTGTATCATGCTGATGGGAAATATGCAATCTGATGAGGATTTCAGTCATGTGAATTCATTATTACCAACTTGGGCTTTTCCTAATATATTTGTTTTTTTAGCCTCCAGCATCTGGGCTATCATTTTAAAAATTACTAATACGATCAAATGGGTTGTGGGGAATACCATGACCTTCCATGTAAGAGAATGGGAGCAGAACAGCATGCTAAAAGGGTTTTTCATCCTTGCAGGCAAGAGGAAGAGGCAGGTCATACTGTTGACAGTCTGTAAACATCAACAAGCTGATCCAATCCACACAGCAGTGGTCATGAAACATATGCAGTTCACGACAGCTATCAGTAGAAGGTATTATGCCATCTGTCGATTAAACATTAAGGCAATTTGGAAAGGTTGCCACTCCATCATGGTGCACACATTACTTTCTTCCAAATAATAGAAAAGCACTAGGAGTAATAGTTTGCAAATAAAGTGAGTTATGCCCAGGGGCAATGTCATTCCTGACATATAGCTGAAAACACCATCAAATCTATGCCTGGAAAAAGGGCAGAGTATGTGCACAGGTTTTTGATGCTTGTACGTATGTGAAACACTGAAGTGAGGCTGTTGAAATGTTGATCTCTGAATCAGAGGTACTAAAAATGAACAATTGACTTGCCAATTTAACAGTTGTCTTAATATTTATTTATTTATTTAAAAAGGAAAACCAGTTCCTGGTAAAATAAGTAAAAGGAAGATGACTGTGTGGTTTGCAAATCATTAAATAACTACAAATAACCATGGCAAAACAGAATGCAGATGCAATCTTTGAATACCATTCCACAGGAAGTTAGGATGGTCCCATCTCCAATCACTTTTGCTAGCAAATAAAAGCTTTTTTAAACAAAAACACAGGTATTTAGATATTAACAAAATGTTCCGGATTTTTTTTAAAAAAAGGAACTATAACTAATCGATGAAGAGCCAGAACCCAGAATCAAAACCTGATGCATTGTTAGGGAAAGATGCAAAAGAACACTGTCTTCAGCCAAAAAGAAAGAAAAATCTAATCAGATCACAACCATTGGGAGCTTTTTCATACCATGCAACTATACCTATAATTCCAATCTATCACAATTTATGGAATATTGGGGTTTGTAGTTTGATTTTAGCCTCTTCCTAAACTTAAATCCTAAAATTCCATAGGATGGAACTATGGCAGTTAAAGTTGAAGCAAAATTCTACAATTATGCGATATGAATGAGTCCAAGGTCAGAATCATGAAACCATCTGTTTACAGACTTGTTTAAAAAGACAGAGAAGTACTGCAATAACCAATGTAAAATAATAAAATAATATAACAAGAACGATATAACAAGCAATCTCTTCCACAAAATGTGAGATATTAAGTAGAAATTGAAACCAAGAGTGGAGATGCTATGTGACCCAACAGGAAATTATACCATATGATCAAGTAAACATAAAAAGACAATGGAAGCAGTGCATTGAAAAAGTCTAGAAGTATTATGAAAGAGTGATATATTCAATGGATAATGGTTTATTAATGAACAACACATAATATTAGAAAATGAAGTCGAAGCTGCTCTCAAAATAATCTGAAACAGAAGTTTCAAGCAATAGAGCTAGATTCATTCAAAATCCAGTTAAAATGTGTCAAAAATGTAGAAAATAAAACAATAGCTCAAAGACTGGAAATGTTCAAAATAATGTACATACCAATCCCTAAGAATTAGGCTCCCGAGATTGAAGCAAGTCTTAGGACCTCATCACATGGAGCGTTTTCCCAGTTGTAGGACACTTTAGGTCCATTTTAAGGATGAAGTGGCACAGAGCCCATTGGATGACCATT